TTTGCTGCATGGAGCGATGGGTCCAGCGCAGGGTTGGAAACAATGAACGAGTCTTTTGCCCATCTTGTCTTCATGGACATAGTAAAGACAGCCAAGAGTTTCATGGCATCTTAAAGGAGTTTGGTATCAGCTTTTGTGGACTGTGGCTGTTCAGAGTGGACCCCATTCAAGTGAAGCATCATCATAATAACTCCATGTTTCCGAGTCCTTTCTGACGTACAAAGAACACTTCCAGGGTTTTCTAGGTAGAAAGTAGTCTGAATGGGGTTGACTCTTCCCTTCTTCTGGGGGTGTTATGGGACTATACAGCTTGCCCAAGGTTACAGAGGCTGGCTTTACTCCCAGGAGGCACAGCGAGGAATCGAACTCCCAATTGTGGCTCTGTAACCAGGAATCCCTGCCACGGAAGATGTCCACAGGACGCTTTCCTGTTTAAATTGCAGCAGATGATAAGATTCACACTGCTACTTTCATCGATGCTGGTTTCGCCAGCATCCCACAGGTGGACCGCTAGAATTACTGATGCTACTGACACATCTTGGAAACAGAACGGTGATTAAAAACAAACAAACAAACCTGTCCTGCAGGAAATACTGTATAAATAAAGTTGTTGTTTTTAATTAAGTGTGAAGACGAGAGGAAATGCAGTCTTCTGTAATGCCAAGATTGTGCAGCCCTCGACTGAATGAGTCATCTAGCTACGGCTGAATTAGAGAGACCCAACGGAGGCTAATGGAATCAAGTCCAACGGGACTCAGAAGCTTTGGGGTCGAGCGTCACGTGTCCCGCCTCTAAGGCATCTGGGGTGTGAGTTTGTTCCGTCCACGCTGCACAAGGCAGCCGCCTGATGTGTGAGAGAGCTGTTTCCAAACAAAGCCGTGTATGTTTTTAAAACAACACTTTATTATATGAAGAGGCCTCTTGATGAGCTGAGTAGCAGGAATGGGGAGGTAGAGAGGGAACGGCAAGTGGCAGGCAGAGAGGGGTGTGGGATGTTTACTGGGAGGCAATACTCTTGATCAGAGGCCCCGATGGATGTTAAATGAAAAAGCCGAAGCTACTGAGTGCAGAAGAGTGGACAAATAAAGTAGTGATATAATGACGATGGATTGGCTCGAGATAGAGGCGTGCGGGGTGCCTGGTGGAAATAAAGCACAGAATATATTATATACTTGGACTGCGAGGGAGACATTTGGGTACACTGCATAATTCAGCAAATGTGGACTCATCAATGTCTTAGCCACGCCATTGGCAGAGTCGTGCGATGTTTCTGCACGACTTTGTGCTGCTGTGTAAGATTGGGGGATGGGGAGGGCAAATGTTCGCATGTGCTTCTAACTACCAAACCGGTGGTAGGCAAAAAGATGGAGCTTCAGCTTCGTAGGTTATGCAGCGCACTGCAAATGCTATTACGGAAGGAAAACAGGAGTGAAGAGGAACAAGGAGAAATAACACACACACAAACACACACTGTGTCTCTCTCTCCCCCGTCGCTGTTTAGAGGTAGGTGAAAATTAAAGATGGGCCCAAGCTTGAAACTGTCAGACTGGCATGAAATAAAGAGAGCCTTTTTAGCACATAGCGGCTAGAATCCAGGAGGTAATTTGAGTTAGAGAAGATCCATGGAGCCAATGAGTTCCCATTAATCTTGACTCACCTTTCAGCCATGGAGTCCATGATTTTACTCTGGCTGGAGCTAGTCATTGGATTTGTTGTTGTTTAGTCGTTAAGTCGTGTCCGACTCTTCGTGACCCCATGGACCAGAGCACGCCCGTTGGATTTAGGCCTGCCTATTTAACAATTATGTGTCACCAAGCGGATTCCAATTTAACTGCAAACCTTTCCGGGGTTTCCTGGGTACAAAATACTCAGAAACGGCTTATGATTCCTTCTTTCTACTTTGGGACTGTGCAGCTTGCCCAAGGCTACACAGGCTGGCAGTTTTCCCACAGTGGGGGGAAATCAAGCTCCCGACCGCTGTGCTTAACTCACTGAGCTATCCGGCCAGCCTGTTGTCCACGTAAGCCGTCTCACGTGGCCACCTAAAAAAGGGAACATGTGTCACACGGATGAACTGAAGAAAGCAAGCTGGGCATGTAACCCCATTGAGGTTGATGAATGACAGGTATGGTTTGGTGCTATGCAGTGTTTGGAATAAAGACTCACACTGCGGCCCCAAAGTTCTCTGCAACCTGCTCTAACTCTGAATTGTGAGCTGAAAACAAAACCAAATTTGGTGTCAACTCCTTCTTTTTCATAAAGAGGCAAAAATATTGCAAAACATTTTTCTCGTTCCATCTGAAGGTTGTCCCAGTCCCGTAATTTGCTCTTCTTGTTCTTCTTGTTGTTCTGAACCTTGTGTTTCTTCTTTCCTGACCTTGTGAACTACAGCCTCCCAAAAGGTTCCATTCTAACAGCCTCGTTTGTGTCTGGCACCGGCTCGGTTCTATCATTCATTCATTGGAAACTCATAAAAGATATTTCTTCCCAGGCAGTTGGGAAGTACCCCCCCCCCCATGTGCTGGCAAAATGTGTCATTTATTTCCTTGCCTCGTTGGTTATTAGGTCAACACACAGGGAGCATGAAACAAAGAGAACAGAAGATTACAGATGTCAACAGCCGAAAGTAAATCATCTCCTTGTTTTCTTAACTAATCCATAGATGATTTAAAACATATTTGAAAGATCATTTAAAGGATGAAGAGAAATTGTGGCCACTGGAGGTGGATCTATGGAGTCTGCTTTCCGCGATGTCACATGGCGATGGGAAGTGTAATTTAATCATTGTGAGTGCATTGTTTCTGCCTCCCGTGTCAGCTCTTTCTCGTTCCTCACAAATGTACAGTTTACTCTGAGTAGAGACTTTTCCTTCTGAAACTCACTGGGGGTGAGGAACAGATGGACAAGACTGCAGCTTCATGTTGAGACAGTGATAAACATTGTGCTTCCAAAAGTGCACCTTCTAGACCGCCATGTCTGCACAAACAATATTCAAATAAACCCCATCCCAGCAATTAGCCACCAAATGGAAGCCAGCTGAATTCCAAGGCATGGAGCTACAAAAACCTCACTGGAGGATAATCAAATGCTCTTTTTCAAGGCAGATCTGCTTCTAACTGTGAAGCTGCCATCTCATCTCTCCTGCACTGAAAGCAAGCGGAGAGATAACGTTGCTTTCTGCAGGAAACCCTGTAGCACTGTGTTTTCCCTAGAAACCTGATGGAGAATTTATTGGCGTATTAATCCTAGAAGCTCACATCCGATGCCCATCCTGTATATGTGTCAACATACTTTATACCATAAAGTCTTTATACCAATGCCATCATGTTCTAATAACACTCTGTTCAATCAGGAAATTGAACTTTGGGTAAGAGAATATGGACCATATTCTCGAAATGGACATTTCCTTGTTAAAAGGAAATCTGATGCGCAGGGAGGATGCTGAGCGGTGTGCCCAGTGTCAGGAAGAAGCCAGATGATGGGAGACAGTCATCATTTCTATGACCATCTAAGTGGATGCAAAGAGAGAACCACTGTCCCTAATTTCTAAACCAGCAAGTTAGTGTTCATATTAAAGCCAACATTTTGTACTGTATCCAAGCTTCCCTGATTACTTGGATAAAAGTGTTGCCAGTCTTTTTAGAATCCTTTAATTGAACAACAGACCTGATTACCCTGTGGTTCTCGAAAGATTCCGTTGGAAAACAAAGATCAAACCACCTCACTTTTGATGCTGCATCTCTTTTTGTGTGTGTGTGTGGGGAAACCACCAACAACATTTTGAGGCTCTTCTTTTGAAAGAAATTTCACCGCTGGGCTAGAAGGATTCCAATTTTTATTTAGCTGGAAAACATTCTCATTGACTCTCTTTTCAGTCCTCCCCTGAGCCACGCAGCTTTGTTACAGCAGCGGCTGGGAAGATGTTTGCTTTTCTAAGCACCAACAGCGGGTTCTCTCCAGGAACCCAGAAGCATCCCAGGCATTGAAAAAGGTGGAGTCGGAGGAAGCGGAGATGGAAGTCTCGAGAAGTGGATCCACAAATGCTTACATTGAAATAACTCTTAGAGATGCCACAACACTTGTGGGTTGGCTGAAACACATTAGTAGGGGACGCCTTTCCACAATTGGACTTGTTTTTGTTTGGGAAGAAGCTTCGGCAACCCACAGGTACCCCCTAAATTCCAGATGCAGCCAGGTAGGGGTGTTCACCCAGAGCCTTTTCTTTTTTGTTCCAGTGAAGGCTTCCCCCCCTCCAGTCACTGATAGTACACATGCCCAGCTGAATCTTGACCAGAAGCAAAGAGGGCCATTGAAGGGATCGGTCCCTCAACTGTGGGACTTTTCCTAGTCCTCATCCGCTTCCTGCATTTACATTTATTGTAGAAAAGCCATCCCAGATTGCTAATTACACTAAGCATGGAGCATCTAGACAGACAGACAGATAGACAGAGGGAGAGACAGACAGGGAGACAGAAACTACATTGCCTACTTGCCTGCCTGCCTCAGCACTTCAGAAACAGCTTTTCTTGGGTTGAGGGATGCAATTCCTGGGTGTATGACTAAAAGGTTTTCCAAGATCGATCTATCTATCTATCTATCTATCTATCTATCTATCTATCTATCTATCTATCTATCTATCTATCTATCTATCTATCTATCTATCTATCTATCTATCTATCTATCTATCTATCTATCTAT